GATATTATCCCAGTCGATTTGAATGCTTTCATGTATTGGAATATGAAAATCTTGGCACATCTTCAAGGCGAACTTGGTAATCTTTTTTCCAAAAAATATAATCGAACTAGCACTGGGAGCAATCCCGAGCACAGCCAAAGAGCCGGCATACTTAGTTTGTGCTAGTGCTATTTTACTTCCACGATATACTTAGGATATGCTATTTTAATTCCAACATTGAAATATAAAAATTTTGGTGCATTTCGGGTTCCAGCTGAAACTACTGAATAACTCCTCCAAATCCAGATTTTTTTCCAGAGACAAAATTGTTAGGTTAGTCGACAATAGCTCACGTAAATGACCAAAATAAGACTTGTCATAATGATCTCATTTTTGCGAAAAAAGCTAACTTAAAATTTTCGTTCAAATATATATATATATATATATCTTTTGGACCCCGGTGTACCTAATTTCCGCCAAATTTGGCATCCTTTTTACGAAAAAAAAATAGTTCATTCTTGTTTTTGTATCCCGTGCTCGCTTGGATATAGAACTCTCAGCGTTTTGACATTAAAACTAATATTTCTGGACCCATCCTTTCCTTTCGAAGCAATTCAATTTTGAAAAAACTTTTGATGCCAAATTCACATTGAGCTGCGCATAGTACTAACATATTTTGAATTTTTTGGTTTACAGCGCATCACTTTCGACATTTTTTCTTTCTGATGTTTAGCACTGTGCCCGACATGAATAATGTTGGCCGTACGAGAGGTAAGAAGGGGTGAGGTCCACACCAGTCCCTTTTTTCTTCCCGAAAACATCACTACTTATTTCTATAGCAACCGGAAAAGCTTAAGTGAGAGAGAGAGAGTGTGTTATACTCAGGAAATTTAACGCGTCGTGACGAGCTTAATCATGAGAGATCGAAATTCGTGGATACGTTCGAAGCAGTATTCTTTGACACAAGTGAGGGTGCTTGGTTCGATCTGAACTACAAAACTGGTGAACATTACGACGACGCCTATCCATCACTGGCGGTGCCACTGTTCACGGAATGCTACCAAGCGCTGAACAGTGCGATGATGGTCGATGTCCTAGAAACACTACAACGCAAAGGATTATTGCAATTTCCGGGCGGTGTTCCAGCCAGGTTTGTGCTGCTCTGGTTTTTTAGGACAGAACCAAGGAATCAGTCTTTTGCGGCTCAGTCTCTTTTACTAGGTTTTGACATCACTTCCGGAATCCACCCGGCAAAACAGTCCTGCGTAATGCTAATTTCAGCTTAATAAAAGGCACGAATCAGCAATGGGATTATCCGAACGGATGGGCACCAATAAATCATATGATCATCGAAGGACTACGGAAATCAAATAATCCAACGTGTGTACTTTTTTGCACGATTATCACGGCCACTGAGATCACCCAGAGGAGCTGACTGATGGTGTTACTGGGATGTACTTATACGCAGGATGAAAAGTTTTTGCTATGCATCTTGCCCCGGAGCTGTACGTTTTCATTTAGTGCCTTCTATCTGCAATGTTTATACGCGTCCGCTACCCTTCTACATGTAGGTTATGTAAAATATGGCACTTAAAATGGGCATAGAAATCCAGAATTTCGTTTCTTGATTAGGTAAATGTATCCAGATACTTGTAAATTTAAAGTTCCAGACTACAACAACGGGCTTTTGAACTAGCTAATAAATGGATCAACCGCAATTACGCACTTTATCAGAAGGACCGAAAAATGTGGGAAAAATACGACGTCGCAAAAGAATACGTACGTGCTGCTAAGGGTGGCGAATATGAAAACCAGGTAAACAGCAAAGTGTACCGCACGATTTTAAACTCCTTTGAGATTACTTCTATCAGTTCTGATAAGCTATCTCATTGCAGTTCGGCTTCGGTTGGACCAACGGCGTAGTACTGGATCTGTTGGTAACATTCAGTAAACGAGCTATAGTGAAGCCAACCGGTACGCCGGTCGACACTCATGTCGTCGTACGTCCCGACGTTCCTGCCGAGAAAACTATCCCGATAGTGCAATATGTAGCACCAGAGCGACCTTCGGAAAAGCTGTGGCGATTCGTGAAACGACTGTTGATTCGAGCACTGGTCGCCTTCCTGAAGTGCAGGAGCACCAACACCAACAGCAACAACGAATTTAGATAGCCTGTACTATCACTGTTGCTTGTCAGTATTCCCTGTTTTTCAATAGATCTTTTTCAGCTGTTTCCTGTGTGAAGACATGTTGCCTTCATCATCATTTAGTGCCTTCTTTGGAGGGTGGTTTTCAGAATTGAGACAACTAATGCTGTTCGCCCCAGACAATACTACTCTCTTCTCTTATAGTACATCTTTATGTATATATAAGATTACAAGACAGGTAAAGCTTTGTCTCCCAAACACACACAAACAAATACATAGACAAAAAAAAAGACACGCAAGGAAATCTTCGTGGGAAGCAATACGCTCGCTCCGATGCCGGACAGACCCCCTTATTATCATAATTTCGTCACTGCCTTCAAGCACGCTACTGTTGCGGCGTCCCATTCACCTTAATCTAAAACTTTAACATCTCCAAACACTTAGGTAGCTTAATTCATCCCAATAGCTAAATTCGCCATCGGTCGCTCAACATCGCTTAACAGGTACAATTCCCGGAGTCAGCTCTGTCTATTTGCTGTTTTTCATTTTCGCAGCATAACCTTCTTCAGTTCTCTTTTTAGCAAGCGTTAATAATGTGTACTCCAGGCCAGGCCGAGACGATTATAATCATCAGCTCGCTTCTGTCATGAGCCACCCAGTGATTCGTTAAGTCTCATCACGCATTTTTACGCTGCAGTGCCGTTGCGCTGTAACAGGCAGCAAGAACGTATATTGCGCTGACCCGTTGGGTGTGTGTGTTTGTGTGTCTGTCTGTTCGGGTATTTCAACTCAGCAACCATACAAACTCAGAAAAGTTTTTGTGACTATTTCTTGCTCAGTCCTCACGGAAATGATGCCAGCTTTAACGCACATCTGCGTCTCATGTACGAATACATGGAAGTTTTGGCGGCAAAACTATCTACTTAGAAACCAGAAAAACTAGGAAGCCGAAGCTTCGGAAGGATCTTCTTTTGTCTATGTACAAAAAGGCATGATGTCACTAGCAACCTTAGTGCGCACTGCTACAGTTTCCTGAGATGCAAAAGTGCGTGTAATTTTCGTGGACACTGTATTGTGGTGTAAACACAGCAAAGTAGGGAGTGGACAACTTTTGTTAGCATTGCTTCACGCTTTAAAAATTTTACTGCATTCGGCGGAGACTGTTCTCGGATAAATGGTTGCCTGCTGTCCGAGTGAGAGTGCTCTGAATGGAAACCCAGCCTCCACATCTTGGCAGTATTACTTCTTCCCAAAGATTTCTCGAGAAAGAGACCAAATAAGTTTCAAAATGGTATCGCTCAAGCTAATGCAGTCAACCATCATTGCCTTCTTACAGAAGTACCTGAACTAGAGATAACGAGACATGCTTCAATGACAAGTGATGATACATAACAATATAAGTCAATAGATTAAGTACATTATATACACGAATGAAATACACATACATATAACACACATACGCATACTACTATAATACAATATTCACAAGTGGGGAAGACATTAACCATGGAAATTGAGATTCCACTGGCCACAGTGAAGCGCACAAATTCCAGAACATAAAATGCGGACAGGAATGAAGCATTATCAATTTTTATGCGTTTTTGCAGCGCTATAGCGCTGCACAGCAAAAACGCATATTGTCGAGAGGCTGTCAGTTTGTGTGTGTGTGTGTGTGT